CCCCTACTCCTCCCGGGCCGCCAGGGTGAGTGGCAGGAGTCTGGCCTCCTCCTCTCGGGTTTTTGAGAGATGTGTGTGTTAGTAGGTGGGGTAAGGGCAGAGTGCAGGGAGGCGCAGATGAGACTGATTTACCACCGCAGGCCGATCCTGCCTCCTAATCCCTCCAGGGTCCTCGGGGGAATCACACACTCCCACCCTCTCCCCAGCACGCACCCCATCAGGAGATTGCACACACTTGACTTACTACTTGGACCCAATCCCAGCTGCCTGCTTTGCCGCATCCTCCCCCCCTCCCCGTGAGTGGGGTGCCCTCAACTTGGCTCTTTCAAGCTCTATCTTCAGCTGCACCCCACTCCTCAGGGCCACAGTCCTGGAGAACTGGGATTTGGCCTTCTGCTGGACTGAAGCAGGAAACCAAACCGGGTGCGTTGTGCTAGATACTTCCTGGCATGCTACTCCATTTAAATTCTGCCCGCAGCTCATTTCGCTAGCAACTGTGTGCTTTAGAGAGGGGCTGATAGGCTTCAGCATGCTCAGCTCAGGAAGACAGAGCTGGACCAGAACCCAGGCCTCTGGTCCAAGCTGAAGAGGTGCTTGCTTTAGGTTGCAGGTCATGTCCCAGGTCTTTGGCACGTCTGGGATGGCCTGATCTCAGCTGGGGTGACAGAAGAATGAGACAGATAGGGTCTGCTCCTCTAAGCCTTTTAGGCTTCCGTGGCTCGTGGCCAGCCACAGGCTTCCTGGTGATGAAGCCAGATTTGTTGCCACTTTTCTTCCTGCTGAAGCACAAAGTGGCTTCTCAGAAAGCCATGGTTCAGGTTACTGTCCCCACTGGGGGGAGGGGGGACAGGTTAATTTAGGCAAGATCTGGTTCCTCCAGGCTACCCTTTCCTGACTTTCTTTGTTTCTCTTAACCCCTATAGGTGGGAGGAGGTGGTCAAGGAGTTACTTGCGCATTTATGCTTGGGCAGGTAAACCCTGACAGATGGCTTTAGATTCTAAAAAAAAATCCCGGGGGCTGATGTTTGATTTCATGACCACAGCCTAAAGCCTGGCTAGGGTCTGTCTAGGAGAGAGGAAAGAGCAAAATGATTTGTTGGGACTGAGGACTGCTTCTCACTCTGGATGCTGATCAGTATGTCTGGCATCCCAAACTGTCATGTTGATGAGACTCAGGGCCTGGCCCACCCCCAGCACTCCTTGCACTGGGCCTCATCCTAGTTGTGGAAGGAGAAGTTCCATTTCCCCATGCAGGGAGGGTAGAGGATTGGGGAATGGGTCTGTAGGGAAGTGCTAAGCAGGCATAAATGCCAGACCTGGGCAGATGCATCTCCTGCCTGGAAAAGAAAAGAGGGACAGAGGTCTTAGGGGCCATGGCATGCTGGGCTGGGGCTGTAGGCAGCCACTAGAATTTAAAAGTTTTTTTCAGGTGCTTCCCACTGCTTTGGTTTTGTTCTTTGCAACCCTGAAGCTAGCTCAGAAGGCATGAGCACAGTAATGCGCGTGGCCTGGGTCTGCTGTGTGTTTCATAGGCTTGTCATGTAGTTCACTAACCAGCTAGTGTTGGTCTTGGCTGTCTGTACTAAAGGAGATAGGCTCTTTTAAAGATTGGGCAGGGAGGAGGTAGGCCTAGCTCCAAAGAGAAGGGAAAGGGGGACAAACCAGGGAGGAGGGATAAGAGGAGATGGTTAAGGAAGATAGGCCCTATTTCTGAGCATTCAGGGCTGTCTGGGGACTTTTCACATGCTCAGGTTCTTCCCTCTGGGATTGCAAGGACCTATAGTGCAAGTGGTGGTGAACCTTTTAGAGACAAGTGCCTAAACTTCAACACCAAATACACTTATTTATTGCAAAGTGCCATCAATGCAATCGAACTGGAATACTGAGGTTTTGGTTTAGAAAAAGTAACCCATACATTAACATCTTTTGTTTTAAAAGAGAAACAACACGTGTACCGCAGGACTACCATCAACTTAGCATAGATGGCCCAGCCAGGGCTTCTTTAATTAAGTTTAGAGCCTGGTTTGTCTCTTAAAATCCTCCAGGAACCCAAGATCCTTTGCCCTTTTGAAGTGATTCCCTTCAGGCTGGCCTTTTGAGCTGAGGTCTGAAGTTTGGGAGAAGGCAGGGTTAATTTTCTCATTTAAGCAGTGAAGAAACCAGGAGTCAGACACACTACATGTCTTGCCAGAGACACTTAACGAAAAACAGAGCCAGCACACCACTCCTAGCGTCCAGCCTTCAGGTTGTCAGTACTGACAGGAGTAGCGGTCTGCAGCCCCGGCCAGCACACGTCCCAAATGACCTGCTTATGACTAAGTAACTCAGGTAACACCAGCCCTTGGCTGCTTCCTGACACACTGGTGGGAATATACAGGTCTTAAAAATTAATAACTGCTATTCATTGAGTACCCTGTATAAATACTTTGCTGTACATATTTTAATCTCTAATCTTCCCATTGAACTTAAAACAAGGCTGTTACCCCCATTAAACAGACCAAGGCTGTGGGCAGCCAAACAGCTGGCCTGAGATCACACATTGAGATAGTGCCTGGGCTTTGAATTGAAGCCAGAGCTCCCTGACTCCCTACCCCTTGCTCTTGTGATTACCACAGACTTTAGTCACTGATGGAGGCTGTTTTTAGTATGGAGAGGTAATAAACATGCTCTGGCCTGGAGGAGGTTCTGAGATTCTCTACCTCCTGTGGATGGCATCAGAAAACCTAAGAGCAGATGGGGACATCACACAGGACCAGCTCTGTTGCTCCTCAAGGCCTGAGTGCCACACAAGGGGCTCTGGGGCTGCACTTTCCCCACCAGAGAGCCCTTTGCATGCTTTTTTGTGTGCATACCTTTCCTTTCAGCCATGACTACACGGAATGGGTCTACGGCACTTCTGGGTAGTGGCTTGGGATGTCACCTGGAAGGGCACATGAGGGCAGAGGATCTGTGCTCTGCCACGGGTTGTCTCTTCGCACAGAGCAGTTGAGTCATTTGAGTAGTGTGTTGTGATGGGCAAAACAGATGCAAATGGAAAGTGAACTGAGCAGATGAGGAGAGCCTGGTGCCTAGCTACTGACCTGGCCAGCAGGCTGCTCCTGGTCAGGCCCCCAGCTGGGTGTGCTCACCCCTGCTCTTTCCCCTGAGGCTGGCTGCTGCTGAGGTTCTGCGTCTGTGGCCTGAGCTGGATTCAGGGATGGGAGCAGGCTCGTCTCTACCTGCCCACTGCCTTGAGCAGAGTGTGGGCTTCCCAAGTTACTTCCACAGCCTGAGAGGGACCGGTGGAACTTTGGAAGCACCCAGCTATATAATTATTTCTCCCTACTTTTCTAAGAGCAAACTGAGACCTGATAATGACCTCAGGCCAACCCAGTCTCCCAGAGGTTTCAGGGGCCTGACTGGCTTTAACTGAGCTGTCAGCCCTATTAAGAATTATAGTTCTTCTCTGTGCACTGAAGACTTCTGCCTGGATTTTCCTGCAGTGTTTCCCCTCCAAGTGGGGAAGGTGACCCCCAAGCTCTGTGCTACTCCAGGAAGGCACATGGAGCTGGAATTTTACCTTCATGGAGCTGTGTGGCAGGTGCTTGGCTTGTGCTATCTTCCACTGTCTCCTCTGGCCTAGCCGCAGCAGGGATTATTAACGTCAATTTACAGATAAGGAAACTGAGGCACAGAGAAGCTTGCCTGCGTGGCATGACTGATGATAGAACTAGGATCCAAATCGAAGCCTGGGGAGTCCATGTCTGTGCTCCTACTACTGCCTCCCATGACTCCCACCCAGAAAGGGCCTCTGGCTTCTAGAGGGCTCTAGGTGGCACTTACTGGAGATCTTCCTCCTCTACTTTCCCTCTTGGCTTTTCTTTTACCCCTCATCATTTCTAGAATTGCTAGATTCTGACCTTGTCTTTTGTCATTGTGAGATTTTCATGAGGATAAAAGAATCAAGGTTTGGTTAGGAGTAAATTATTAGGCTTCCCCTGGACCAGGGAGAGGACTAAAACTAAGGCCTTCTAGCAAAGAGACAGGTTTATTCCTTCTGAAGATCCTTCAGCTTCTCTGGCATTGTCTAGGGACCCACTGCTTGGTGGTCACGGCAGGCTTTGGAATGAGGGCCAGCAGTCACTGACATTTTACCCTCTGAGCTAGGGTGACAAAAGCCTGAGCCCAGAAGGAGGACAATGCCAGCCCTCCCCAGGCAGCCCTTTTCTTTTCTGAGGAAAAGGAAGGGCTTAGACCAAAGGCTGTGGCCTCATTGCAGACCCTGCCTCAGGTAGCATCCCAGTCTTCTCCGGGTTTGGTTTTGTGTGTCTCTCTTCCGAACAGACCAACATTTGCCTCTGAACATCTTGTCTCTGGATGATGAGGTGTTTATGTTTGTCAGCGTTTGGATTGGTGTGTGGAGTGGGGGAAGGGATTAAAATAAACTTGGGCTATTTTGGAAAGTGGAGGAAAGAGCAGGCAGGAGCAGAGTCAGGCAGCGAGGCCTTGGCAGCAGGGAACCTCCTGGGTCCTTCACCTTAACAGGGACGGTGCCATCTTGGGTTCTGGGCCCCGGAGAACTCGTGTTATCCTCACTCCTGGACACAGCCACTGTGCCATGACCGTGGTCCAGTCCCCTGATAGGGTGTTCTTCAGACCCAGGAGTGGACACTCAGGCCCTGGGAGGAGGCCTCATCAAGACATATGCTCGCCCACCAAAGAGGTCCTAGTGTCTGAAGGTATTCCTGGGTGTACCTTTATCACTTTCAGCCCCAGTTAGTGGGGCTGATGACCTCTCCTCCTGACAAGCTCCCCAGAACCCAGAGGGGAGCAGTAGTCATTCAGAAAACATTTACTGAGCACTGCACAACAGAACTATGGTGGGTTCTAGAAATACTAAAAATGAGTCAGAAGTGGCCTCTGCTCCTGAGGAGAGCCAGGTCACGTGGACAGGGAAATTAGGTGATGAGAAATAACAATAATAGTAAATCATGAGAGGTGCAACAGAAGTCATAAAAAGTAAAAGTTCAATACAGGAAGAAAAAGGAGGGAGTAAATAAGTCCTACCTTACATGGGATGGGGAGCGGCTTGGCAAGAAAATAGTTGAGCTGGGTGGGCCTTGTAAGATAATGAATTCACTCCCTTAAATAATTTTTTAGAAGGAGGAAGGTTATAAATAAATATATAAATACATAAAGTTTCAATGTGGGTAGTGTGAAGCCAAGCAGCGATAGGCAAAGGGGGGAGCTTCCAGGCCGAGAGACTCGTCCCAGCAGAGGTAGGACCACGCAGGCCCTCGATGGGCAGTCACCAGCACTTCCTTTCCACTGACTGGAGGCTTCTGGCAGCCCGGTGGTGTCAAGACGACCAGTGTGACTTGACAGAGGGCAGACATTGAAGCTAACTAGACACAAGCCAGAGGGTCCTGGTCCAGCCTAAGTGGGGGCCAGGGCCGGACTTGCTCCTAAGGGAGGTCTGAGAGGATGGAGCAGCCATCCTTCAGCCTGGGTTGGGCCTTTGTGCAGGCCTCCTGGACACCCAGGACAGCTCAGGGTTACCTCCCATGGCAGAACACCCTCCCTGCCTTTCCTGCTGCTCCACTACCTCTCCAGCACTGCCAGGCACTAGGATCTCACTTCCCTCCCTGGGAAGCTCAGCCCCTCCCCCAAGCCCACAGATCTTCCTCTGCTAGTGTCTTTGGCTGTGTTCTCAATTTTCCCTTCTCCTACACTTCGTCCTTAATATAGGTTTTTGGGCATGAATCTCCTTATGTTTATCTGTCCATCTGTCTCCCTGGCCTTCCTTCTTTGGGCTCTCCTCCCCTGCCCTTAATGATTGTGTTTAGTTCCCAGTGATTGGTGTCTGTCACCTCTCCCCTTGTCCAGCCTGTGCCAGATTCTTGAGACACTCTGGGCTCTGAGTTTCACAGTACCACTTCTTTTAATCCAAAAAACAGCCATAGAAGGTAGGTTCTACTCTCATGCCCTCTAACTTACCGAGTGCATTGTAGCCTCAGGGCATTTGCACTGCCTATTCCTGTTGTCATTGAGGGCTAACCTGATCACCCTATTTGAAGTAGTCCTTTTACCTTCATACCTTGTCTCTCCTTTTTTTTCTCTATAACACTTATGCCACCTGACATGCTATGTATTTTACTTATTTGTGAAGAGTTTTCCTTCACTAAAATGTAAAGTCCAAGAGATAGAGGTTTTAGTTTCTGGTACATAGTAAGCTCGTAGTTTTCCATTTTCTAAATGAAGATCCTAAGGAGGCTAGGAGAGGTTAAGAAATGCATGAAAAGTCTGGTAGAGAGGGCCAAATTGAACCCATAAGTAAGTATATGACCTGACATTTCCACCAGAATGGTCTTAGGGCAGGTCGGGGAGGCAGCTGGCAATGGGTCTGACCCACTAGCTGAAACACCTGGGCCTTTGGAGACAGGCGAGTCCCTATATAACACAGCACCAGCAGGAAGCTGTGTCCTCCGTCCAGGGTACTGGGACCCTGTTTCCTCCTCCTCCTGCTCTGCTTCAGGCGGAGCCAGTTCACACCAGCAGTTTTCTGCTTGGGCAGTTGCAGAACCTGTGACCTGTGTCTTCAGGCAGTGCAAAGAACCGACAGCTTCAGCTGTAAAAATCAGGGCAAATCGCTTCTTCCAGGCCTCGGTTTCTTCATCTGTAAAAGCAGAAAAGAGTTGAGTCAGATGACCTTCTGAGTCCTTTCTACTTCAGAAAAGGCAGAATTCTGTGATATTTTGCCTTTGGAAGCTGTGTACAGGAGCCCCCTCAGGCTTCCACACCGAAGCACTGCCACTATTTTATTGAGCATTTGCTGTGTAGAAGCTCATTTAATCCTGTAGTGACAGTGTAAGGTATGTACTAGTGCTGTCTCCTCTTACAGTACTGCTTACCTGGTTGAGTGGCAGGGTCAGGATGTGCAACCCAGGCAGTCTGTCCCAGCGAGTCTTTCAGCCCGAGGCTCCCCCAGCTCTCCTCTGCCCTCAGTCTGGCGGCCCGGGGGCTTGGACACTGCCAGGTGTACAGGATGGCCCCATAGTACTGAGCAGAAATCTGGAGCTTGAGGCCCTGTCCCCTTGCCAGGTGAAGTCTCTGCAGCCAACTCCTCCCAGGTCCGCTTTGGTTCTAGGAAGCCCTCAATCCAAGAAGTTGGGAAAAAAAGCAGCACCAATGTCTCCCAGTCCCATCCGTGCCAGAATCAAGCAGATCCACCTCTTAGGACGTAATCAAGCTTGGAGAATAATTTAGAGAGAGGAATCATCTGGGCCTCCAAGTGGAACTTGTAACCTTGGAGTCACACATAGGACAGTTCTGTATTTAGGGGGAAAAAAGCAGAAGCGAGGGAAGACAGCATTAGTGAGGGGTTGTTTCCTAACCTGGGAGGGGTTTTGTATCCTGGGCCTGAAGGGTGACTTTGTCTGCTACAGGAGGAGCTAGTGGTGAGCAGCTGGGGATGGAAGCAGGTGCCTTGTCTCTGGGGTTGAGTAGCCCAGGCCATGCCATCTTCCCTCCCTCTCTGCTCCCTGTGCTTAGCCCCTTGGCAGCTCTTCCTGAACTTGTTTTTCCAAATCACTAATTAATCTCATGCTTGGGCTCCCTGGTGGGCCAGCTCTCTTGGCTAACTGTCCTCAGAGAGAGAGAGAGGAGAGAGAGAGAGAGGTCTCAGCTTTTCATGCTTCCTGGTAGAGCTGGGAGGTGCTGTACCTCCCCCTTACTCCAGCCCCCTGTGCTTCTCTACTTAAGGAGGGGAGCCAGGTCCCTGGAGTTGCAACACCACCATGGCTGCCACAGGCAGGTGCTTTTACCAGCTCTCAATGATGGTCATGGAAAGCCCACATTAGCCTGCAATGTCTGGGCAACCCATTTCTCAAGGGAGGGAAAATGAGGCCAACAAAGGCACTTGAAACTTACCTTTCCCAGGAAAAGCAGATAGGGAAAGCTCCAGAAAAAAGTGCAAAGCAGGGTAAATGGCCACCTCTGTCTCCAGCCTTTTCTTTTCATGCTATTTCTGATCAGTCCATCCAAGCTAAAGTATAAGTTGAGGTACATCGTCCTGTGTGATAGGAGATTTGTCCTAAGCCCTAAGGAGACACATCCCCTTGGATTAAAATAGGATTGGGAGCTGAATGAGAACAGGCTTAATAATTCAGAGCTGGCATTCCTGTCTGAGCATTGATCCTACTCGGGGTTGTGAAGACAGGATAGTCTGAAGGGAAGGTACAGACTCTCAAGTTAAACACTTAGCAGTTCAAATCTAGTTTTCTCTCTTCTAGATGTGAGACCTGGGATAACTAACCTTTCTGATTCTCACTCAGTTCCTCCTTCATAAAATGGGATGATGAAGCTTGTCTCCCAAGTCCCTGGGAGGTTGAAACCAGTGGCACATAGAGTACCTTACAGTTCCAGGCACAGAATAGGCAGCCAACAAGTGTCCATGGCCCAAGTTCCTTCCTAAAACTCACTCCTGTTCCAGAAGCCCTGGAGGTATGGCTTACGTTTTATATCCCTGCAACCTGTGTTCTGCATGGGTGTTTTGCAGTCCAAAAAACAGGTGGTTCCACATTTCCCTGCCAGTATAGACTCCCCTGGTGCAAAAACCTCTCTGAAAGGTAAGTCTGAGTCCTCATTGGACTGGGCAAGTCCACGACCAGGTGTAAATTGGGGCAGAACAGTCTTTGGCTGCTGAACAAGCATGGGGCAATAAGTCTCCCTCATCATTATTCGGGCTCAGCACTCTGCTCCAGGAGGAAGCCCAGCCCACCCACTCAGCTGGACAGGCAGCAGCAAGAGACAGAGTCTGGACCCCAGCAACAGGCACGCTGACGGTGCTGGATGGCCTGGCATGAATGAAGGCTCCATAATTGACATTGTTACACACGTATTTCATCTCCATTCATAATGATTGGACACTTAAGCCTCACCATTTTCTGCAGACTGCTGCTGTCATCATTCTAGCTGAGATCCCAGCAGCTGTCAGAAGCATCTTCTGCCACTGTGATCCTAATGGGTACAGTTCATCATTCTTTGGAGCCTGTTGTCCCAGGAAATACCAGTTTGTGGAAAGAAGAAGCTTGGTTGTTCTGGGCAGACAACTATCTCCTGCCATGGTCCATGTTGTATTCTTTCAGGGACTTTCTCACTATGTGTAGTTAGTCAGCAAGGATGCCCTGAGATTAGAGGCAGGAGAGAGGGACTGAGGCTGGCTTGAGGTGGCTCGGGACTGGAGTTGGGGTTAATAGGCATAGCCAGTGGCGATCCAGGGTCATTCCTTGCTGGCCCCCACCTCTGAGCATCCCTAAAAGCAATGGGCCTCAAACTTTAGTGTACATCAGGATTAACCGGAAAGCTTATCAAGATTTCTGGACGCTGTACCCATAACATTTCTCACTCGTTAGGTTTGAGTGGGGACTGAAATTTGCATTTAGAACCAGTTTCTAGGGACCTGATGCTTTTGGTTCAGAACCTGACTTCAAGGAGCCCTACCATAAAGCCTAGTCGCTCCTGCCAGGTTCTGTGGACAAAGCTTCCCCTGAGAGCTTGTGAACAAAGCCGCGTTGCAGGCCCTGCACCAGACCCCCTTAATGAGAATCACAGTGGAGGGAGGTTTGCAGCTGGCTTGTATAACTCTACAGTTAGAGAACCCTTAAAGCACAATGGGTCAGAGCAGGCAGAGCTCAGGCAGGGCCAGGCAGCTGCATTTCCTGACTTGTTGCTTCCTGCCAAGTGCAGTCTCTTCTGTGAACCATGACAACAATTAGTATTATCCCAGGACACCTAAGCAGGGGGACAAAGACCTCCTGAGGAAAGAATTCCAGCCCCAGAATCTGTCTGAATCCTACCTTTCATCTCATGGACTGCCTGCAGCCTGTGTGCCCACTCCATGAGCACAGCGCCCTAGCCCCAGCAGAGTCCGTCTATCCCGACTTAACAGCTGTTCTCTGCTCCTCTCCACTCACAGGTAGTGGCCTTTGCCTCTCTCTTCTTCATCCTGGTTTCCATCACCACCTTCTGCCTGGAGACCCATGAGGCCTTCAACATTGACCGAAACGTGACAGAGATCCACCGGGTGGGGAACATCACCAGCGTGCGCTTCCGGCGGGAGGTGGAGACAGAACCCATTCTGACCTACATCGAGGGTGTGTGTGTGCTGTGGTTCACACTGGAATTCTTGGTGCGCATCGTGTGCTGCCCCGACACCCTGGACTTTGTCAAGAACCTGCTCAACATCATTGACTTCGTGGCTATCCTGCCCTTCTACCTGGAGGTCGGGCTGAGCGGCCTGTCCTCCAAGGCGGCCCGCGACGTGCTAGGCTTCCTGCGCGTGGTGCGCTTTGTTCGTATCCTGCGCATCTTCAAGCTCACGCGCCACTTTGTGGGGCTGCGGGTGCTGGGTCACACCCTGCGCGCCAGCACCAACGAGTTCCTGCTGCTCATCATCTTCCTGGCCCTAGGCGTGCTGATCTTCGCCACCATGATCTACTACGCTGAGCGCATCGGTGCCAGGCCCTCCGACCCACGGGGCAATGACCACACCGACTTCAAGAATATCCCCATCGGCTTCTGGTGGGCCGTGGTCACCATGACGACGCTTGGCTACGGGGACATGTACCCCAAGACGTGGTCGGGCATGCTAGTGGGGGCGCTGTGTGCGCTGGCCGGCGTGCTCACCATCGCCATGCCCGTGCCGGTCATTGTCAACAACTTCGGCATGTACTACTCCCTGGCCATGGCCAAGCAGAAGCTGCCCAAGAAACGGAAGAAGCACGTGCCTCGGCCAGCCCAGCTCGAGTCACCCCTGTACTGCAAGTCTGAGGAGACCTCTCCCCGGGACAGCACCTACAGTGATACCAGCCCCCCTGCCCGGGAAGAGGGTATGGTTGAGAGGAAACGGGCAGGTGAGTAGGGCTTGGGAAGGAGGACAGCCCATTCCCACAGTGGCTGAGGGATTCCCAGTTGAACCTCAACCCTTGGTACCTAGGGCTGTGCTTTAGTGTTCTGGCTTCCTAAAATATAGATGTGCTTTCGTGAGGGCAAAATAGCAAAGGTTGGATTTCTCTATTCTCTGACATTCATGGTCTATAGTGAGTCTTCTGTGCAGTGTAAGCTGCGATGGGCAGTGCATGGGGCTGTGAGATAGAATCTTTAGTTTCTGTTCCCTCTTGGCCTTGTGCTGTGTGCCCTGAGGCCAGTCCCTCACCTTCTCTGGGCATGAATTTCTCACCTGTAAAGTGGGAATGATTATCAACACTGTATCCCCAAGATGCTGATGAGACCCAAACGAATGATGGATATGAAAGCACTTGGAGAAGCTACAACTGCTTTGCTAATGTCAGATGCTGTCATTGGTAGCCAGAGAGCAGGGCAGCTGTTCTTCCACGGTGCATCAACACATGAATCACTTCTTTCCCAACGTTTGAGTCTGGTGTCTCTTGGCCTAAAAAAATGCGATAACGTAACAGCAGTGGGAGGCTGCCTTCTGTTCAGCACAAGCTAGATTGAGTCCTGGGCTCAGGGTTTGACATGAGATGGAAGGGGGCCGAGGGTGGGGGCTGGGAGTGGGAGAGACGGGTGCCCACATGCTGGAAGGGGGACTTGGGCATCAAGTTCTGTCCTTTGGGGACTGGAGAGGCCAGCCCAGAAAAGCATACTCCACCTGGGTCAGGAGACAGTTAGGGAGGGTGGCCTCATGCCCAGCAGTGCAGAGCTAGGCCAGAGGGCAGGCTGTTAGGACGGGATGGGCTCCAGGGGAGGGTGGGATGCCTGGAATGGAGGACTGGCAGATGCCAGGGCTGGACGGGCTGGGAAATTGAGGCAAGACAAAGTGGGACTAGTTCTCCAGGGGAGGAAGCCAAGTCAGAGCACTCATTTCTGGCACTTTGGCATGTGCCCACTGTGCATACCTGGGCCCCCCACTCCTGGGGTCTTCAGAGGTCTTGGTCTTCCTTGATAGAAGACTGGATAGAACAGCACCCCTCAGGGTGTTCTCTTCTCCCTACAGCAGTGGTGCCCCTTCCTGTGCCTGAACATACGTCTCCTGGGGGATTTCAGTTGTCCTCTGAGGCTTGTTCAGGACTCAGAATCCTTCTGTCCAAATGTAGCGGTCCTTAGCTTGTCTTGTCAGCCATGCCTGTTTGCCTGCTCTGAGTGCTATGCCACTGTAAGGGCTTGTGTGGCAGTGCCCAGGCCACTGTCTTCAGACTGGGTAGCCCCTCTTGTCCAGGTCTCCTGTGCTGCCTGACCAAGGCAAGGGGCTGGACCCAGAGCCACAGCAGTGGAGAGGAATTACAGCTTCTTCTGCAAAGAGTCCTCTCCAGATGCAGGAGAGCCCAGCAAGCAGAGGGCTCGAGTCTGGGCACTGGCCTCGAGCCTAGGTGCCTGTGAATAAGAATAACTCATGTAAGTGGTAGAGGGAGAGAGTGGTGGACACCACTGTGTAGGTTCAACTCTCATGGTGCCACCCCTCCTCACACCCAGCCAGCCAGGAAATTCTCCACAGGAATGCAAACTCATCGAAAGGCCAACCTGAGCCAGACCCAAGGAGGAAGCAGAGTCTGCTGCCAGCCTGGGCTGATCTCATGTGGCAGCCTCAGAAGGCAGAGCTAGGGGATCCTGTTGTAGGGTATCTGTGTTATGCCCCACCGCCCAGGGAAGACTAGGCTGAGGCCGGGAGGGAAGCCATCTTCAGACAACACAGCGTCCAGTCCTTGGCCCTGGCCTCCAGTATCATTTCCCTCCCAGTGATACTAGGAGCTTCCTCCGGGTAGGGAAATAATACGCTGGGACTGGGATCTGAGAGCCCTCAGATGACCTCAAGGGGGCCCAGAGGCAGCCCCTCTCAGCCTCCTTTCTGTCTGCTCCCTTCAGACTCTAAGCAGAATGGAGAGGCCAATGTGGTGCTGTCTGATGAGGAGGGAGCTGGACTCACCCAGCCCCTGGCCTCTGCCCCCACCCCTGAGGAGCGCCGGGCCTTGCGACGCTCTGGCACAAGAGACAGAAACAAGAAGGCGGCTGCCTGTTTCCTGCTCAGTGCTGGGGACTATGCCTGTGCGGATGGCAGTGTCCGGAAAGGTATGGCTTCCCGGGCTGGGCAAGTGGGGGGCCCCCAGAGAGCAGAGTCTCTCCAGCCCCCCCCCACAGAACTTGAGGTCCCCCCTCCCCTGAGCCCATGGCCACCATCTCCTCTGCCTTGGATGCGTCCCCACTTTTAAGACAAACACCCTGGCCTTTCAGTCTCTGAATCAGAAAGGCCTTCAGTATCCCAAAGATTCCACAGAATCCTCCCCAGAAAAATAGTGCTAGAGGATTGAGGGGACACTGGGTCAGGGACTTAGCTTCTCCTCCCCATTTTTAGTACCTCCTCTGCCTCTGGGTCTTGCCTCTGCCTTCAGGCCCAGGCCACAGGTCCCTGCCAGCCTTTTCTCAGGACTCCCTTGAACTTAGCTAAAGCTTTTCCAAGTTGTCCCCAGAGATTCCCACAGCTGTCAGGAGCCGATGCCAGGCCTTCAGAGAGCCCCACATGGGCCCTGTTCCTCTCATCCTTCATGTGGAGCCTGGATCCAGGGTGGGCTGACCCAGATCTGCAAACACTTGGGTGTGAGTCTTCTCAGAGGAGAGCCAGAGGGGACCAGGGGCTGGGGTAAATGGGCAACAGGTCCCATCTGAGGAATGTTCTGATGGATTTGGAGAGTTAACAGGAACAGCTCGTTCCCTGCCTATCCCTGAAGGCTAGAATGCCATCACCAGGCTGCAAGCCCATGGGCAGAGCAGGATGGAAGTAGGGCTGTGGTGTTAGGGATTCCTGCCCTGGGAGAGGGGAACAGAAGTGATCAGGAGTAGGTGAGGGCCAGTGGTGGCTAAGACCACACACTACTCCTGCCCAGTTTCCTGTCACTTTTTATTTTCTCTGTCCCTGTGACCTAAGCTCCCTAAAAATTTACCAAGTTCCAGGACTCCCCAACAAATAAAGCTTCTGCCCAAGTTGTTTGGCCACTTCGTAGCCAGTCTGATTTTCCACTCCTGACTTCCCATTATCCCCCAAACTGCACACTTATACTGGATTATAGGACAGGGCAGTGGCTACTGCAAAGATAGCCTGTGGTGCCTTTGGCTGCCTAAACATGTACCATCTGCCCCACCCAGGCAGGCCTCTGGGGTACCTTCCTAGACCCTTCCTTCTCAGCACCACCGCTCTCACACAATCCTCAAGCCACCCTGACTGTCAGGCCCTGAGGCCGTGTCTTGGGTGGCAGAAGTCGCAGCAGTGCCTGCCACCTGGAAGGAAATGGCCCAGCCGGCCTTAGCTGAATGGTTGCAGATGGAGTGTTCTCAGAGCTCGTGCACCCATCACCCTGGTGTCCTTGAGCAGAGAGACAGTGGACAGCGGAGTGTCAAACCCCTTTGTTTCCCTCCCTGTGCTGTGAGGAGCGCAATGGAAGCAGAAATGTGGAAGAGACTGTGAGGGGCAAGTAAGGAGGGGCCTGGGTTACTGGAGACAGCTGTGCCTACAAAAAGGGGTACATGTACACATGCAGGGGGTAGGGAAGCCTATGTCCCCCCACCCTATTTCTCTGGGGTGCCTGTGGGGCCCAGATGCTCTATTTTCAAGATGCCTCCACATTGCTTCTTGGCAACAAGCATGTAGCTCAGCCAATTAGAGTGACCTTCGAATAGGAACAGGTGGGTTGCTGGGAGACAGGCCCTGCTAAGCGAGCATGGCAATTAACATCGCCAAACTCCCAGTGTGCACTCAACTTTCCCCATGAGGTACCATGCTGCACCTCTCTGAACTAAGCTACATTTAGGGCCAGGAGTGAGTGGATCTGGGCCTCCTCTGGCCCTTCACACAGACCCACCATTGGCCTGTAGCTGCCGAGGTGTCAGTGTCAGCTCCCTGGATGAATGTGGCAGGTGCTCATCGGGGTAGAGAAGGTGGTTGCTGGAGGCTGCAGGGTCTTTGTGCAGCTGGGTTATCAGGAGTTTGAAGGGAACTTATCTGGAGATAGGAGAAAATAAAAGTCAGCTAGGTGTAGGGCCCTGGAGCCTGTCCTCAGGAATCCAGAGACACAAAGGCCTGGGAGAGTCAGATCCTCTCCCAGGAGGGACAGACCCATCTGGCCTAGCCCAGGGCCACCTTGGAGCATGGATTCCATGGAGCTGCCCTGATGAGGAGCTGTGCCCCTCTGACCCATGTGCCTTTTCTTCACCAAGGCTGTGCAAAGTCCCGGAGTCTAAACAACATAGCCGGAGCGGCTGGAACCAGTCTGGGGCTGTCTCCACTGGCATCGCGGTACAGCTCACCCTATTCTCCGAGAAAGCTCCTGCTGTCCCATCCCTTCCACCCGCTCACCAGCCCCCCACCTGGCCCCTCAGCCCCTTAGCCACACCCCTGGCTTCCCTTCCCTCTGGGCATAGGGACACACACAAGCAGGCACATCACTGCCCTCCCAGCCCCCTTCCCTCGTGGGGCCTGGGGAGCAAAGGGAGGAAGACAAGGGTCAAGCTGGAGGAGAGCTGCGCGCTCCTCATGTTCAGCAGAGAGGAGGGATTACTCCCAGGGCTCCTACCCCTCCCCTCACCCTCAGTGTCTTCTGAGCCATAGGTGCTGGCACACCCATGCCCTGCCTTCCCTCAGGATCCTGAGGGCCAGGAGCGGTGCACCATGCACCTGGGACCTGTCACGCTTGCTGGGGAGACACGCCTATGTTAACATTTTTAATCTCAGCAAATGCATTTCCATTCCTAGTGGCCATTAACCAGTAACCAAACAGCCTGTCTGTCTGTCTGTCTGTCTCTCCATTGTACAAGACCAGTGAGGAACAAGGCTGTTGCATGGGGCATCTCTGCTGGCATAAGGGGGCTTTGGCTCCTCAAAAAAGCAGTGTCCACAGGCAGTGCTGCCCTGGGAGAAGGGACCTGACGTTTTCCACTTCCAGCCTGGGCTCAGGTGGGAGCTCCTGGAGTTAAAGCCCCAAGCTTGGTGTAGGCCTTGGATGGCTGGCAAGGCGCAAGAGGCCCTCCTCTCTGGATACCTGTGCCCAAATTGAGCGGGTGACACGCTTTGGCGGTGCCCAGCCTCCTATCTGTGACCTGCGCTGCAGCATCTCTCTCACACGGCTTCCTCTGCTTCCGCGCGAGGGTTCCTCCCTTTCAAGCTCCCTCAGACTCCCAGCCCTGCCTCTGAGTCACCTGCCACTCCCACCCAGCTTCTGCATTCTGTATTCCTGCCAGAACCGGAGACTCATCTAATTTCTATAATTAAGTGTATTCATTTACCTAACGAGCCCAGGAGCACAACAGGTCTGTGAGTCATTGGGTTTACAGGGGTACACCTTGCACAGGGACAAGTGAGGGGAAGTGAGGAGACAGAACCACCCTGCCCGCACCTGCTCCTGCTGCTCCCAGGGAGGCCCACACGTGCCAGCCAGCCCTCCCCCCGCAGGCCCTCCTCCACCCAGACCCAGGAGCCAAGGCCTCAGCCGAGGCATTTCCTGTTTCACCTGATGGGAATTAGACCTGACAGCAGAGCTGTACGCCTGGCAATTTTTAGAGTCAGATTATGCAACTTTGTAACGGGAGTGACTAAGGAAGGTCCATGTTTTCTTTCTCCAGGGTGGCAAAGATAGTCGCAAGACAGCTTTTAGGGTCCTGGCAGGAGGCTAGTTAATCTGGGGGCCACACCAAAAGGCGACCTGGACAAAAAGATCAAGTTTCCTGGAGTTAAGGTGTGGTGGAAGGTGCCAGGAGCATTGTCATTTTGGTGCCCCCATCAGCCCTGAGCAGTCACAGGATGTCCCTGCCAGAGAGGTCTGCTCAGTAGGTATCCCACTGGATCCTCCAGCCTCACGGGTCTGTGAGGCCTGCCTGCCACTTCCTCTTGGAGTCAATCGACCCATAAGAACTGAGACGAGATGATACAGGGGCATCCGTGTGACCACCCTTCAGAAGGGAATGGGCCCCTTTAGGTGGAGGGATGGGACAGCCTGTGGGGAGGATGAAGACGCTGGCACACCCGCCCCTTGAAGTGGAGCCTGAGAGCCCACCTTCCTCACAGCATGGTCAACCCCGCTCCACAGGGCTCCGAGCGCAGGGGGATCTGGATGGGGCCTAACTGGAGATGACAAGCTAGGTGTTCAACTAGCAGGGGCACCACAGCTATAGTCTCTGCTGACTTGCCACTGTGGTTCAGGGAGCTGAGGTGGCTATTTTTGTGGCAGCCCTCAAACTGTCAGGAACCCAGGTTTCCACAGCACCCACCGCCTCCTCCCCTCTTCCCTCCTACAGGGATGGGCATGTTCTTGGGGGCACAGATGTCCCTGGGCGACATGATGCAGAAGTGCCAGGCTGGAGCCCCTAATGTCTGGGGGAGGGGCTCCCATAAGCCCTCCCAACTCTGTCTTCACAGGGGAGAGACAAGGCCCAGATGGTGGCAGAGCTGTGCATGGGGCCCGCCCCCAGCCCCGGTCCAGGTCCTCTGGGCCTTCCCGGGGCTCCAGGAAAGGGTGAGTCCCACCATTTCTAGAGCCCTGGACTACTCCAGGCCTGTCTGTGCTTCAGCCCCCACCCCCAGGCCTTGGGCATCCCTTCTTGAGAGAAGGCTTTCTTCCACCCACACTCTGAGAGTGTAATTCGCTTTTCCTTGGATTGGACTTGGACTTACCCAGTATTTCAGTTTTTAGAAACCTTTCTCTGCAGCTGGGCCTTACCTTCTTCCCACAAAGCAGGGAAGCAACCCATACAGAGCTCTTAGCCTCTTTCCAGTCTGTACCAGGCATAGAGAGCCTCAGCCCCCAGGCTTCTGAGAGGAGTAGCAGTGAGTGTCCTGAGAGGGAAAGTGACTACTCAGCCTGGAGGGGAGGAGGAGAACCTAGCTCTCAGCTCTAGGAGGCACCTGTGGGTTGGGGCTGCCCTTCACAGGGCACCTGGGAGAGCAGGACCTCCTTTGCCCTGACCAGTGTCACCTTCTAACGCCCCTATCGTACTCCTGTTGGGTCATATAAGTAGGTTCTAAAATAAGGTTTTGAGGAAGGCCCCAACTCTCAGAGGCCCCCAAGGATGTGGAGACCGTGGAAGCCACTGAAAAAGCCACCTAAGTCCAGGCATAGCAGCATACATGCCTGTAATCCCATCTACTTTGGAGGCTGAGACAGGAGAATTAAAAGTTCAAGTCCAGTCTGGGTGACTTAGTGAGACCATATCTTTAAAAATGAAAAGGGGCTGGAGATATAGCATGTGGGAGGCCCTAGGTTCAATCTCCAGTATTGGAAAAAAAAAAAAAATCTACCAGAGGCCATTCTGTCCTCTCAGAATGCCTTACCTGTTCCCTATCACCCTGGCCAAGATCCTGTGGTATCCCAGGACTTCCTACCCGTGTGCCCTAGGATCTAGTGGCCTCTAGGAAGTCCAGTGGCACTCCCTTTTCTCTAGCAAGGGGCGGGGGGAACCAGTGGCTGGATATTACTCAAATTACACAGACAGGTCACTATTAGGAGTACTTGGGAAGACCACAGCTCCCTTTGCTTGTCCTCAAATTGGCTTCTCTGACTTCCTTCAAGAATACTATGGGCCAAGGGGCAGTGTTTAAAGGATAGCTGGGGCCTACAGTCTTAAGGAGATGGAAATTGTCGTTCTAAGCTAAGAACACTCTTTCCCCAGAGGACGACAGCCAGGGCCGAAGCTGTGAGGTATGGAGGCCAAATCTAAAAGCTGTGGGGGTTGTCATAGAACCTTCATGGGGAGGCTGAATTTCTTACCTGTGCTGTTGGCCTAACCTCGCTGGCTGCCCTGCTGCTGCTAGGAAGCAGGGGAAGAAAGGACCAAGCCCCAGGTGTTTCAGGTTGAAGGTGAGGGGCTGGCAAGAGCTCTCTGAGGGGTTGAATCTCTTGGTGAAATGCCACTTGACAGTCCTCTTCTCCGGAACATTCTCTTTTACCTGAGGCTGCATGCCTTCCATCTGCAGGGCCTGTTTGTGTCACATTGAGAATGGGGCTGGGTAGGACGTGGCTCTATAGTTTCTACCTTCTTGACCAGTGCTTTGGGACAGTAGGGTAGTCCAGGGTGGTAAGGGCAGTTGGAGATTTTGGGAGGAGAGCTCAAGTTTAGCAGGCAGTAGCTGGGGTGATGGTCCATGAGCTACAGGAACTTTCCTCACCACTTCCCTGCTCGGCGGCAGACTATGGCCCTCTCTCACTGCACTGGAGCTCTGAAGACTTGGGAGGTGGTAGTTCCCAGAGCTAGTGGTTACTTGAGCAGGTATAGAGATGAGCTGCAACATCACCTGAGCCCCATTAGCCCAAAGCTGGGTTGGCAGATGGGTGATGAAGGGCTCACCCATTCCCTGACCCACCCTTGTTCTTCCTGGCCTCTTAGCCCTGGGTTCCCTGTGCCTTCTAGCTCTGCTCCTGGCCTGCTCCTCACCCCACAGCCTGTGGGTCAGTGGCTGGCTTCCTTCTAATATCTTGTTCTTTGTTTCTCCCTTTCTTTTGCTGAACTCCTTGCCCCCCAGAAGGCAATGTTGAGCCGAAAGCGTGCGTCCCAGTGTCTCACACCTGTGCTCTTTAAACACAGAGACCTGCCAAGACGCCCTCTCGTCCAACTATGCCCAGGCTGAAGTCCTCACCCTCTCTTAAAGCGGCACCAACGTGAGAGAGACAGGCAGACAGACAGAAAGCCAGAGGCTTAGGGAACTCTGGAATCCAAGCACGAATCTTTCGCTGAGAAAGACACAGATATCCTTGTTTGCACAGGACTGGTGGAAAACCTCCATGTGACCCGCGGGGCCCAGAGCTGTCTGGGTCTGATGTTTTGCTCTATTGTACATTGAAGAGATATATATGCACATATAGTATCTATATTCATACATACTATACCCTTGTGTGTAGTGCACGTGCAATTGGTGGTCTGTCATGTTTGTTAGCCCATGTCTCCCCTAGCTCTCTCCCTACCCCAAGTTTCCTTCCCCCTCACAGATTCCTTGTTTCTTCTGACTGTGTGGAATGTCCCGGGAAAAGTCCACCTGGGAACTGCCCGACCAGCTGGGTGGTCCCAGGCTACTCTCTCAGACACGTTTCTCCTGTTAGGAAGTGGCCTGTTGAAGTCTGTTGAAGGACAGACTGACCTCCCCCGACCTAGGGACACTGCTCCACTCACCCAATCCCACCCCAGATTGGGGTTCTACCTCCTACCCATATCCAAGTCATGGGGGACCTCCAGAGGCTCCTCTGCAGACTGTTCCACTCCTTGTATCACTCCTATCTATGTCCTTTATGGAGGGGCATATTTTATTGTTTTTATTTTTTAATATTTTTGTTCTGTCTCCTTCGTCTGTTTGTTTTCAAAGATGCTGCTGGGCAGATGGGCAGGGAAGGGATCTGTCTGCCCATCTGGCTCAGGGGTCTGAGAAGGGGATGCCTCGGGCGAGAGGAGACCAGTTGCAATACTGTACTTCCTGGCCAGTGGCCAGAGAATGTGTGCAATAGTGGAGGCCAGGTGACCCCTTCAGCCTTGGCCTCTGCCCCTCCCTCGGCCCTCACTCCTTCCCTCCTGACCCCTCTCTGCTGTTGGTCAGTCCTTTCCTAAAGCTGTCCTCTCGTGTGTGTCTGAGGCATGCCTAGGCCAGGCCCTGACGCCCTGTCCGCATGCCTTCAAGTGTCATGCTGTGCTCGAGCCCCAATAAAGACATCGAAGTGTCCTGTTGCTCCTCTGTGTGAGTGTCTGCCTCTGCCTCTTCTTTCTGGCTCCTGGGTCTGTGGGGACTTTCCTGGCTCCTACCCTCAACACCTGAGCAAGGCAGCACATCTAAGCCTACTCCCACCCGACCAGGAATCCTGCGTGCAGTACACCCTTGTATTTTATAGTTAGAGGTGAGTGCTCAGGGGAAATCTGCCCAAGACCACACCAAGGGGACAAACGCAGGGTCTCTGACCCCCAAGCAGTGTTTCAATCCCTATTCCTGCCACCTGCTCCCCCATAACATGGAAGAAGGCTTTTTTATTGAGGGAACTCCATTGTATCCCTGCTGGTTTGTGCAGGGGGGCCTCCTTCCTTCCTGCAGCAACACCAGTTCTAAGTGGAGCAAGGCCCTGGGGATGCCAGTCATTCCGATGTCTGGATGGCTGATGGACTGAGGCCAGCCAGGGACTGGTGGCAAAATCAGGGACCACTTAAGAGAAGGGAAATGAATTTACTTGGACCCAGATGGGGTGAGCAAATGGTACATAATGGTCAGACATAGCCCATAACCCACAATGTTGTCTCTCTCACCCACATAAGGTCAGCAGGAGGCTGGCTTTATGGGCTGCAGCCCTCGGTGAAATGCTTAGGAGGTGTTGCCATTGTGGAATTGTCGAACTGGCCCTGCAGTTTTATTTTACACCAGACTGCAAACTGTGCAGCCATATCTGGGTGCAGGTTTGTCTCTCCTTTCTCTTCTCTGCTCACTCTCTCACTCCAAGCATAAACTTGGGGGCCTCGGTTTAGTCCTAGTCTGCGACTGTCTAGCTGGGTAACTTGGAGGCAACTCTAAACTTCACTTTCCCCATCTATCACATGGTAAGGATGACAGCACCTGTTTTAGGGACAGTGTCAGAGCCTGGCACACTGCCATATGTCCACGTAGAATAGATGTACAATAGGTGTTAGTGTCCCCTTCACCCTTGGCCTGAAGCTCTCAGGCTCTTCTCTGTAGATTTCTGAGATCTCCATATTGAGTCACACTGAGGAAGGACAAGAGCACACCCTGAGCTGTGTAGGGCAGCGCCCTGTAGCAGGATGAGGACCGCAGGGCCAAAGGGAGGAAAAAAACAGGGGAAGCCTGTTCCTGAAGCGACGGAGAAAATCGGCTCGGAGCCTGGCCAGCAGCGGAGGCGAGGCAGTGGCAGGCAGCCAGTTGTCAATTAAAGATAAAATCTCTCCTCCAACAGTGGAGGGCAGATAGGGCTGCGGGCCCCCCAGACAGGAGAAAGCCATTTGCAGCCAGGCTCACTCGGAAAAGCTTGGCCAGGCGATAATGGGATGGGATGCACCACTGGCCCCATAATGATATTACGCATCAGGGCCTGTGTCCAGGACGGCTGTGTTTTGTTTGTTTTTTTTTTTTTTTTTTTTTTTTTTTTTTT